AGAAATAATCGTCCGGCCGCGCACGATTAAAATCTTATCGGCCGTGTGTACGTTAGGTGGCAGTCGCGCAAGATCCGCGCCCGCCTGTCCACGTCTTTATAGTTTCACGTCTCGTACAGCAGCGCGCGCCGCGCGCTTTCCGAGCGACAGCAGCCCGCGCTCGCGGTGCGTCATTAGCCGGGGAGAGGGAGGTCTTTTTGCTCCTTCTCCCGGAGCCTCCTGACCCTCGCGCGCGTGCCGTCGATATTTCCCGACAAAAATTACCTTCGCTGTCCGTGCCACGCGCACGTCGGCGAGAATGCTACCGGTGGCCGTATGTAAATCGAGACGCTCGCGTTTCTTTCTTCGACAAGGGTTAGGGGGATGGGTTCCAGAGCCAAGCCTTCGTATTTCGAGTGGGACGGGGTGCTTCGTTATGCTTTAAGGGCATTCCCAGCCTCGGGTAATGTCGGGCTTATCGCCGCCGACCGATATATATCGTCGGCTGAAAATCATACCGAGTTAAGCCCGCGATTGGAGAGCTCCACTCGTGAGCTCTTTTCTTTGCTCGGCGCGTAGCATTATGGCTCGCGCAACACGCCACAAATAACGCTTACGCGATAATAATTCGGCTTTTATATTTTTCCTTTGTTATCGAAGCGTGGAAAATTTAGTGTCCCTTCTTGCGCGCATCGATTTTTTTTCTCTTTCCTCGTGAAAATGTGCACAAACGCGCGCGCGCGCTCGCGCACATGTCGTGGGGAAGAAAAGCACACAAAGAATACGAGTACACGGGGCTTTTCCTTCCTTCCTTTCGCAGCTCGCTACGTACGTGATGTATCATTTCACTCTCTCTCTCTCCTTCTTTGTTCGAAATTAATATAAAATCGATATCCTAACTTTATTACGGCTTTGCACAAGAGCGCGTTCGAAAAAAAAAAACATAATAATAAAAATAGGAAATCGCTCACGTGCGATTTTTAAGCGCCGAGGTGGCACATAAAAAGCTCGATATCGCGTTCAATGGAGCGTGCAGCGCGTTTCTTTATTTTTATGCGTTCGAGTAGAAGCCAATGTAGCATGCGAGGCTACCGTGTGCGGGAGAGAAACGCGGAATGTGTGCTAGGGTCCAGGTGAGGATTCGAAGAAAAGTGGCACCTGCCGTGTCCGCGCCACCGCCGCAGTATGCCCGAAGGCGCCTAATGGTCAGATTCGCGTCCAGCTGCTCTCTCGGCCCGCTAGCCTTTATCCTTTCACAAGGCTTTATCCGTGTCGCTTGCAGTGGCTTCGCTTCTCTCGAGGGAGCTTGTATTACTCTCTCTCTCTCTCTCTCTTTCTCTCTGCGGCGATTGCTGCCGTGTTGCCAAGGAAAAAAATGGATATTTGTTTTCTTTTTCTTTATGGTTTTAGTCGTAGATTGCTGGGGTAAAGAGGCCAACAAATTGGCTCGTTGGATGAATGTCTCGGTGATTTTTTTTTTATGATTGCTTCGAATTTCTCGTTTCGAGGAAATAAATAACGTGCGTGCCGATAATTCCTCGGCCATTTTCCTCCTGGCTATGCGCTATTAGTTGTCGATAAAAAGCCGCGACGGTATAAATCCCTCCCCGTCTCCCCTTCTCCGCCCACGCATAAAGAAATATTCGCAACGTTTTCCGATACATTTGGCCGTAACTTACTCGAAAACTAGCAAAACACTCCCATTCACTTTATTCCCATTTTGTCTCTGGCACGTAGTACTGCTCTCGACCTTTTGCGCGCAAGCGGCATCCCTCGGCGCGTTCGGCTATATGCTTTTCCAACGTCTCGACGCAATAAATCATATAGCCCCGTTACGTTGCATGCGCACACGGCGACGTTTCCCCGTCCCAATGACGCGATAAAAGTCGAGGCTCCGCCTCGCGAACGCGCGCGCGATTTTAAAAAGTCTATTATGTATTTCCTCGGCGACGCGCGCGTGCTCTATCTTCCTCCTCTGCGCTCGCGCCCTTCCGCCCGCCCATCCTATTTTTCTCGCTCCTATTTGTCAACAGCGCCAGAAAACCGCCGTGGCGCGGAGTGCCTGCGCTAAACGCCGGGCAAGTGCATTTCTTTCGCGCTTTATTACTTTTTACCCTTTCAGCTGTGTTCCACGGAAACATCTTCGATGCCGCGTGAACCGGTTGATAGACGCTCATAAATCTCCTTTGAATCGTTAAAGCTCCGACGTGTATCGGCTTGAGAAGCGACGAGCGCCACGAGGTGTCGTTACAGGCTCCACCACGCATTGCCGCGAAATTAATAGAGCCGCAGCCGAGCCGTTTGTCACCTTTGCTTGATATATATAGAGCTGCCTATACACCCGTGCCCCTTCGTCCCTCAATCTTGAGCCGCAATTCTACCGTGGGCTTTCAAACTATTTGCCGAGGTGAAATATCGCCAGTCGGGGCCCTTCAGAGCTAATTGTTCTCTCTCTCTTTCTCCCATTGGCGGCCTGTTACTACGCGTGGCCCATACTGCGATCCTCGAGAAAAGCAAAACAAATTAAACCGACCTTGCGCGCGACACCTCTGCAGGAATGCAATTTATTCAAGCGCCGCGCGCACGAACTGCCGAGGCACTGGGCATTTTCACGAGGAAAGACTAGGCCGAGATTAATCTAGCAGCACTCGTTTTATTTTTCCTATTTCCTTTTTGCTTTCTTTCTCTCGTTCTCGGCTAAATCTTCCTCATTACGAAAAGCTTTTGTTCTCCTCGTCGCGCGGCGAGCATTAATTTCTTTTGCGCTCGCCGCAATTATTCCGGGGCCACAGTCGCGCGAACGAGCCACGCTGCGATGCGAGAATCGTATTCGCGGAACGTAGTCCGAACATGATAATCGCGTCGACCTTGATCCCCAAAGTGATAAATTGATACGATCGTTTGACCCTATCATTAAGAGGAGTCTGGGCCTCACGAGGTACGTCTCGCTCGATTATCTCCCAGCCCAGATTCTACAGCCACAGGTCGGCGTGTCCCCGTTGTTTCTTTTCTCTTCTTTTTCTTTTTCGCACGCGAGCTATATCCAGCAGTTGGCAGCCAGCCGAAATGTATTCATAAGCGGCCAGCCCTTTTCCGCTTTTAACCTCCGCCTCGGTGGCTCTGGCGCTTGTGCTGCGCCACGAGCGGCTCTCGGACTGTAAGGAATCGTTAATCGGCGCTGGAAAAACACGTGTCGCGCGCTCAAGTTTTCCCCAAAAGTAAACGACGCTCGTCGGCGTCTGCCACCCACAGCGACCGAGACAGCCACTCTTTTTTGGGGCATCGCTCTGTCTCTCGAGGGCCGCTCTCCTCCTCTGGCTCTTATTACCAACATCTTTTGTGATTTTGCTAATTTAATCTCTCTCTCTCTCTCTCTCTCTCTCTCTCTCTCTCTCTCTCTCTCTCTCTCTCTGGCTCTTTCATTGTGCGAGGAACAAGCGAGCAACGTCTAAAAGTACATTCGTACGCTGCAAAGCGAGCGCGGCGAGAGAGCTACACTGTGCATTTTACAACGACCTAAATTCGAGGAGGCACTCGCTCGTGCTCGTTCGCTCTCTGGCGCTGGCGCACAAGCCGATTTTCGCGTCGCGCATTGTACGTACGCGTTCTCTCTTTCTCTCTCTCTCTCTTCTTCGCGTCACGCCCTTGGGATGGAATATCAGAGCGCGACGTCATCGCTGGCCCTTTGTCGTCGTAATCTATAATCCCATTTTCTCGGCGGGCTGACTAACTCGTGGCCCGTGCCGCTGGCGATGCTTCGAACTTTGATCAAACTTATCTCTCTTCCGCTCCGCGCGACCCGCGCGCGGCATCGCCTTTTACAGCGCGACGCGTCTTTCTTCCTCTTTGTTGCGGGCGAGCCTGCCTTCGCGGCGACACGCGCGCAATTACGGCGCACGCTCGGTTGCCATGTACGAAATGCGAATCGTGTCTTTCCGGCTGCGCCCGAAAGTAGCCAGGACGGGGGCGGGGGGGGGGGCAGGAGGTCGCAAATAAGAAAGCAAAACTGAAGCTTGCGGCGGCGCACAATAATGCGCGTTGACAAGGGGGTCGCATGCGTACGTACCGAGCTCGTCTCCGGCCCATTGTCCGGCAAGTGCAGCAAGATCGATGGCGCGGCCGGCGCGCTATCCCAGCAGCGGCAGCAGCAGCAGCAGCCAGTCTTTCCTTTCGTCTCTCTTTCCATCCGAGCTGCGGCTTCGTTACGCGCATGCACTTCCTGCGATCCTCTTGCGCATCCTGTGCGTTTGTATCCTTTTATTTCGAGTGCCGCTCTCGCTCTCCTATTGTTGCTCATGTTTGATTGCATCGACCTGGCGACTGCGACGAACTGCGCGCGCGGCTCGGCTTCCTTTTCGACAGAGAGATCGTTGCATTGTCTCTCTGCACGCGGTGCGAATGGCATTTCGTACGGTAATCACGTCCGAATTTCTCACCTTCGTCGGCGAGAAATTCGTACAGTGGAGGCGACAACGTCGTTCCTTTCGTTATTATCTCGTAGACATTCGATTTCGACGCGCTTCGCCTCGACTGTTCTCACGAAAAACAATGCATTATAAAAATACCTCTGATTCGCATTCATTCGAATAGAAAAATTGTTAAATAAGCACGAAGGAAGCAAAAGCGATAAAATGCGCAATTGACACAAAAGCCGCGCAAACAACGATTTATCCGGGCGGTGTATCCCCGTTCCCCTCTGCATCCTCGTGCTTCCGCCTCTGTATATCAATCGCATAGCGGCGGCGCCTATTCTCCCCCACTCTGCACAGGTGCGCGCGCGCGAAGCAGCTGAGAGCGGCGAAGAACCCGCTGGCAGAGTGTATAATGCAGAAGAGAAGGAAGGAGCAGCGGTGCGCAGAGAACAGCTGGCTCGAGGAGATAGCTAGTAGTAGTAGTAGTAGTAGTAGTAGTGGTAGTAGGGGTACCCGTTTGCCGCTGGCGCGCACCGGCGTGTCTTATACACGGGCACGCAGAGCAGCCGCAGTTCCGTGCGACTCTTCCGACGCTGTAGTCCGCGTGCGGAGTGCGACGGTCCGTGCGCGCGTGGCTTTTTCGGCGTCGACGCGCCTCCGCGCCAGATCCGAACGATGCCGGCGATCTTCAAGAAGTACCTCGGCGGCGAGAGCAACGTACGAGGCAAACCACCCAGAGGTACACCGCTCTCTGCGTATAGTCGAAGCACGCGTCCCCAATATCTTCTACGCTTTGAAGTGCCTGTGTAGGCTGCGCGCAGCCCCAATTTCTCTCTCTTCGGGCCCGGCGTAAAGAGCGAAACATCCGTTGCACGCCCGAGCCTCGGCGAACGTACCGTCGAGTTTACGTCGGAATTGAAATTTCTACGTTCCTCTAGCGGCCCGCGTCCCAGAATCCCAAGACCGCCGGCACTTATAAAATTCTCCCGATAGCGTGCAGCTGACTGCCTTCATCCCCTCCACGGATTAATAATCGCGCCGAAAGGAGCCGTGGACAAAGAAAATTTTACGCGAAAACCGTATGGTCGGCTTCTTTTTTTTCGGATTAGCGTGCCTTTGACGCCCAATGTTTCCGAGCAGATAAAATAAAAAAAGAAGTAGCCCGGAAGCCTACTTTGGCCTAGTTGCTGAGTCCAGGGAATATTAGTTTCTTTTTTCCCCTCTAGCTGTCGAGATAAATAGCAAAGTATGCTAATTTTTTCAGCAAGTTATCTTATTAAAGCGGCCCGCAAAGTTTCGTTAATCAGCTCTTTCTTCCGTATCGTACGCAAGATTGTTTTTTCCGCGCGAGATGTGATTCGGAATTCAACTTTGCCCCCCCCCCCCCCTCCCCGCTCCGCCCTTCTTCCAGAGCGCAGTGTTTCTGAAAAGGAAAAGCGTATACGGCGAAAATTGTTCCTTGTCCTCGGAAATTCGCTTTGGTTAATCTCTCGTGAAAAAGTTTTACGTATGAAGTGAAACTGCTACGATTTCACATCCTCCGTACATGCCGAGAATGTTTACGCTGCAGAACCGTTTGTTCCAGAATAACATTTTGGTCAGTTACGTATTCGTCGCGCGTAACGTTGCACCATCGGTAATTATAAACGACAACGTATCTACGCTAGAGCCGTGTGTTATTATTCGTTATAAAGAATTAGGAACGACGCCGTCGAAAGAGAATTTCATTAAGTTTGATCGTCGAACAATCTGCCGAAACATTCCTGTCCGTCCGGCGAAAGACACATCGAGCGAGTCAACCAGAAGCCCAGAGGAGGGGAGAGGGGGCACTGCGCGCCTGGTATCAGATAAAGGGCCTTATTATTGCCGTACAATGCTCGCGCGGCACACATAACGCGCATAAATATTTATGAGAGTTGGCCGACTGCATCGATTTATTCGCGATGGGGTGCGCACGCCGGGTGCCGGGGCTACGCGCGCGGCACTCGAGAGAGCTTTAATTTTCGGGGATAGGCCATAATCCAAGGATGTAATCCGTTAGTTCTGTCGGGGATAAGCCGGCATTCTTTGCTCACGGAGGGGGAGGTAGCGTTTTATCGTAGCGCAAGGGTATTCGATGTATTTCGGCGCGCGGCAGTTATCGCGAGATTGCCTTAATTTATCGCCGCGCCGTCTTTGCTCCGCAGCGCGTCAACGCGCGAGCACGCATCATTCGACGGAGAGCGCAAAAGCAGCAAGCGCGAGCGGGTCGTTGGCGGTGGGTACGGGTTCGATTGGAATTCCTCGATAATCGGGCCACTTCATCTCACGGCGATTCTCCGCAGCGTAATGGACTGCGAGCATTTCGTCGAGCGCTTCCGAGAGGGGAGTTCGCCGAGGGGGGCTCGGCCATCGTTTTAATCAGTCGATCCTCCCGGAGGACGGCGATAAGGGCGCTTCGTTACTCGCTCCGAGTCCGTTCTCCGCGGCGCTCCGAGTCGCGTGTCCGCGCGCGCAAGAACCATAATGGCGCTCGGTCCAGCGCCGAGCTCTGCCGCGCGACCTGCGGCATTCGATCGGCTGCTAATTGCGCCCCGCGCCAAAATCGATCTTATCGCGACGCGGGGCTGAGGTGGCGCTCCGACTGCGCAGGCGTGAAACTCTTACTGGTCTGCCGGAGTGCCGCATTAAATCATCGATTGCCATCGCACAAAGCGGCGCGTCTGGGCAATTGAAGGCCTCGAGCATTCGAAGCCTGTCGCCGATTGCGCACTCGTTCCGCCGACGTCGCCGCCGCCGCGCCGGAAGTTTTGCGCGTCGCCGAGAGCTCGAGAGCGTAGGTTCGTTTCGGCGAGAGAGAGAGAGAGCAACGCCCGAACCGATACGCGCGTGCCCCGTTGCTGAAATTAACGGCGCCTCCGTGACTTGTCGGGTGTGCTGCTGGCCTCGCTACACTTATGTGTCTTTCAATTTTTTAACGCGCCCGCTGTGCCAGTGCTCGTTTTATTGGCATTCTTCCGCGACGACCCTGAGAGATCGCGCCTTTCCAAGCTGCATTGATTTTTTTTCCCAGAGATTGCCCCATCAAGACATTTTACTTTCGTTTCGTTGGAGATTACCGCGTCGATTGCTTCCTCTCAAGCGCACGTCGAACCTGCCAGGCGCGTCCAACTTTTCGCTGCGAATCGGGATAGCGACGATTGCATTAGCATCGCGATTAGATCATCTGGTGATTAAATTACGTCTTTTCAAGATGACAGCTTCGCTTGAGTTGGCTAAGTGCTGTGAAGAAACGCCCAGTCAACGCAAAGAAATCTCAGCGATTTGGCCTGTTTCGTGCGACGCGTCGCTGCTCTTCACTCGGGACAATGAAATTCAGCAAATGAAAAAGGAAGAAACGAAAACGACAATGGAGCTCCGATCCCCGGCTGGCCGGCAAGTTTACCCGCGGAAAAGTGGCATGACGCGCTCAGCGAGGCTTATTACGCACGAAAGCAGCGGCAGTGGAGCGCGCGCCTCGTCGGCCCGCATGGACGTCGCGTTTTCTCGCCTCTCGTTCTCTTCGGATTAGCGGCCTCGTGGAACAATTATTATCAATGTAGCCCCGCGCCTCGCGGCGCTCTTGGCTGTTCGCTCACGGCCGGCTCGTAAATATTCATGGCGTCGCGCGGTGGCGATACGCCACCCCGTTGCTCGCGCTGCCCTTTACATCTCAATTGCCCGAGTGGCTGCCGCTGCAGCCTCTGGCCTCGCGTTATTATTGTACGCGGCCGGGTGATTCCTTCCTCCTCGCGCGACGCCTGCATTTCTCGCGGAGATTACTTTCACGCTTTAATCCGGCCATTTGGATTCGCGGCATGGTCAACCCGATTGCGGAGCTCGATCTCGAAGCGACCTTGGCACACACACGTCCAGGCGCCCGCGTGGATTTAACGACGCGCAGCCGCGCTTTTCCGGCTTGGCTTTTCCCAATCGCGATTAATGAAGTCGGCGCAGTCGAGCGCGCCTACGGTCGACGCCACAATGAACCTTCGACTCGCGCGCCTCGTATTTATTTAACTCGGCGCGGCCACGGTCGAGCGCATTTAATTAAAAGCTCCTTTAATTAGAGCCCCGTGGAAAAACGAGAAATAAAATAAAAGCAAAGCGAGCTAATAAATTCAGCGAGCGGCGGCGGCGGCGGCGGCGGCGCATTTTTCTTCGATGATAAAGCCCGGCGGGATAGGCTGCTGCGTGGCGGGGCTCTGCATAATTCATCTGATTTTCCAGCGCGAGTCTTCAATCTTTCTGTTATATAATCCTTTTGGCCGCCCGTGCTCGCGCAACCCCGCGCTCGCTCGGTAATTGGCTTATCGGCAAGGACAAAATATAAAGTTTCTCACCTCGAGGCCTCCTTTCAGGGCGATGAGCTCGCCTGGCGCGGAGTCGCTGCACAAAGCACACCGTCTGATGTCTCTCCCTATCCGTAGACTCTACGGCTTTATGCGTTTCGGAGGCGACCAACACTTTATTTTTCTACTCGTTTGATCGCTTTTACAACGTCGTACTTGCTAAATAATAGCGTGGACGACCGCATCGCGGCTTTTCCATTTCAGGCCGCCTTTTCGCAACGCATAGCTCGACTTTCTAAAGTGGTACCCCTTTCTCCTCGTCGCGTTCGATATCATTCTTTCTAAGTGTATTCCATCGGAAATAACCGCCAGTATCGTCTACTTTATTTTTCGTTAATAGCCAATCTATTTTGTGGAAATAAGCAGGCCAATCGGATGGTAGGCGTGCCCTCGCAGGTAATTCCGTTCAGCCAGACACGAATTTACGCAGGAGCACAGCCTCGGGGTTGAATTTAAATTTTGAAATTGTCACAATCCGTCGCGCAACTCTGGCGGCGTCGGGAGACGCTGACAAAGATGGCAATTTTCCGGAAAAGGCGAATCCATCCTGCATCGTGAGCGAGGCTGCGCCGGAGAAAAAAATAAAGAATGGGGGAAGCGGATACGGAACAGGTCCCCGCGCGTGTGCACGGATTCTCAGCCGAAAGGCGAAAGTTCGACGGTACTTATTTGCATGGAGTGGGGAAAAAAAGAAGTTTGTCGGATTCGATTACGTCAGTGTAGGTTCGCGCACCTACTGGAGGCCTGTTAAGCCGAGTCTTTTCATTTCAATAGCTTTCCTCTACACAATGGACGCCTTTGCTGGATAGAATGTAATACGCGCCGTTTTTACACACAAAAGCAACGAATAGAAGCGGGGCGCATCAATTTCGTCAAAATCAACGTCAGGCTCGATTTACTGCCGTTCAAACCGCGGCAAATTAATCCCAATGCGCCGCGGCGGCTCCGAGTGTCCGAAAACTCGTTAGTTTCCGAACCCTTTCCAGCTTCTTGTTTGGTTATATAGCCGGCTTGCCATGGCAGTTGGAAAAGACGAAAAAAACGAAGTTGTCCCGTTAACCGTGAAACGCCTGTCCGAGACACTCGTCTCCGGAAAAGTTTCGGTCGGACCACTGCTCCTTTCTGTTTCTATTTCTATTTATTTTCTATTTATTTTACCACCGAGGTTCAAAGCGATAACTAATTGGTTATCCACGGTCGAAAGGACTGATTTCCGTGCGAAACGAGCTCGCGATCTACGTAATTTTGCCGAGAGAAACACTCTCCCTTGTGGACAAGGATGAACGCGTTATGGTCGGTCCGCACGACTATAACGGAATTACGCGCGGCGGCGCTAAACTTCGCTTCTGCGGAGTCATGAGACCGAGCGAAAGCCGACGAAATGGAAAGTGAGCGTATGAGAATAATGCTAAAACAATGGACAAAACATGCTTAGTGTTTTTTTTTCCACGCAACGGCTCCCAAGTACTTCTTTTTCTTTTTTTTCCTTTCGTGAATCCTTTACGACTGTTACGCGCTTGATTGCGGGTGACCTTCTTTTTCTTACTGGGCGCAACTTCCACACTTCTCTTTCTCGTTTCTTTGCGTATTTACCGCGGTCGAAGGCTTTTATTGGCGCGTAAAAGCAGCACACGGTAAGGCGCGCGCGCATTTCAGGCGACTCGGAACTGTTTTTACAACTCGTACGTCATTTTTACGTCGGGCGTCGGCGTCGCATTTTGTTCGCGGCGCGGCTGATGAGAAAACTTGCGCGGCTACTGATTGATGAGCGTGCGGTACGTAAATCGCGCGCTGGCTAAACCTGCGACCGCTCGAGGCTCGCCCGGCAAACGAGCGCCAGCCTGCGGCTAAAGACGAGGGACGAGCGGAAAATCATCAGGGCGACAATATAAGTGTGCAATAACGATAAAGCGCTCGTCATTTACAACGCGACGATCGCGAAAGTTGGCCTCGCGCGGCCCGAGCGGAGATGGATGGCCTTCTGGTCCCGATGATCGCCCAGCCGTATCCCGAGCTCGCCGGCCCAGATTTATGAGCTTCTTTCGGCAGGGGCACAAAAAATAAACGCGAGCGTTGATGCTGCGGAATTCAGAGCGAGGTTTTATGCAGAGTTACGCTGATTAACGTCTATTCAATTGGATTAATGGCTCATCCGGTCTCAGACCCACGCAAGCTGCACGCGGCGAAAGTAGGAAATCGAAGCTTCCAAATTTCATCTTTGCTCCGGCGATGTTTCTTACAGCTTCGCCCAAAATTTTCGGCGCGCACTAAATGCTTGCGCCTTCGAGCGAAACTTACCCGTTGAAAGCGTGTATATGCACCGACGGCACGACGTGCACGAACTGACTCGCGGATTATTCTTACTTATGTAAATTTAACCCGCACAAGTAGCGCGCTGCTCGTTTTACTTTTAACGAGTGTCATTCGGGATAGATTCTATCTCTCCGGCTCTGGGAGCTTTTGACTTAACCGCGTGTTTTCCATTAATTACGAGGCAAAGCTCCAACACAAGGTGTATCCAGCCAAGAATAACCCGCGGCACCCATCGACTCTCTCTCTCTCTCTCTCATTCGCCAAGTGTTGCATATACCTGCTGAAAGGGTCATTACACTTTTATCTTTTTTCTCTCTATGCTGCATTCGTAATTGCATTTCTTTTTCATTTGTTTTTCAAAGGGTTTTTCATGAATTTTTTATCAAAAGGTAAACGAGGTTTCTCGAATTTCTCTCTCTCTCTCTTTCTTTCTTTACACGAGATAGAATAACTCTAGAGATGAAAAAAATCTGCACACGGCGGCTCGCTACTCGTTTGATTCTTTTATTTTTTCGAAGTCGTTGTAGTGGTTGCCGTGCGGTTTAACGAGAGCAGCCCGTCTTTCACCGACGGAAATTCAGCACAAAGGGAGGAGCAGTGCTAGCAGCTCTCTCGGTGAAAATTATTCGCGATACGTGTGCGCGTTTTCGCTCTCTCTCTCTCCTCTCTCGTCTAATCAGTGGAAACGCCCGCGTAAATGGAGCTACGTATTCTGGAAAATTGTCTCTCTCTCTCTCTCTCTCTCTCTATCTTGTGCTACTGCTATCAAATAGAAATGGTTTTACGGTTTACGGCGACTGAATGGAGTTGCTAATTGTTAATGACAAGCTTGCGAAAAATTCAGCTTGGGTTTTCAATTTTTTTTCCATTCAATTAAGATTTTTAATTAAACTCAGCGAAATGAGGAAATTCGTGGAATCATTTACATTGGCGTATTTAAAAATCTAACGACCTGTTTACTTCTCCAAATATATAACGCACGTTTATTTGTTGCAAGTGATGTAATTTTATGTTTTATTTGTTCACTCGGCGAATCCCGCGACACGAGGAAAATATAATAAATCGTTATTTTTTCGCCGAAAAATAAAAAAAATGGTGACGACGAAATATTAACGGGAATAAATCCGCAATCGCGTTTCGGCATGAAAGAGAAAAAGTAAAACGTCAGTTCGAAAACAATGAACCCCGTGAAACGCGTCGTAGTAACTCCTACCATCAAATAGCAATTAGGCATGCACCGTAATCTACCGTAAATAACACTAATTACACGCACGCGTCGACCTCAAACGTTCCGCCGCAACGTGTTATCCGGACAAAACTGGTCATTCGATACGCCCAAGTTGCAGAGAGCGAAGAAAAATGGGAGACGTATCGCGAACTAATACGCGCCGCAGGCCGCACTCGTACGAACGGAAAGATGCCGTGTTGTCGCGTGCGATCGTCTCGTGAGATTATTCAGCCGGGAAGTTCGCGCAGGGCCGACTTTCGATGAAAAGCTGGATTTAGAAAATCGATATAGAGCGCGAGATGAACAATCGCGCGAAAACCAGTCGGCTCGAAGCTGACGACAACTGAAAACAAGCAGAAATAATTCGTGCGCCAGTGTGATGCGACTTCTTCAATAATTTATTGCGCGATGCGCTGGCTATGCCATCAATATTCAACTACATCGATTCGCATTCGTCTGCGTTACACTGGCTATGTGGGTGTATTAAGTAGGTCGTGCGTTGTATTAACGCGGCATGATTTATTGAAGAGGCGCGGACGCGCGCATGCATACGCCGAAGATCAACTGCCCGAGTACTTTTGCCAATTATTGGAATTTCGCGAGCGCGCGCGCATTCCCATCGCGTATTCAGCGCGAAGAAGCTCCTCGAGTTTGCATTGCACGCGCGCGCTGCGCCGGCAAAGTAGGTCGGCGAAGAAAGTGCTTTCCCGCGGAATAATTCAAGCCGTTATCTTCCGAAAGCCAATTGTCTCGACGCGTTCTCGCTTTCCGCGGATGTGTATCGACGAAAACCGCCCGTCGTCGACGCGGCCATCCCGCGCGGGGCCCCTTAAATCTGCCGCGCGCGCGCCGACGGAATTCCCGACGACCGCGCACCGCGTCTAATTAAAGATCGCGCTCGCCCGCTACGATTCCGAATCCGCAAACCACCAACGCGTCTCTTCCGCATTTATCTCGCTCCCTCTCTCTATCTCTTTCTCGTTTGCGCGCTGCTTTTCTTTCCACGAGTCGCGGACGACGATTGCGAGATTCCATCGGGAAAGGTTTTTCAAGAGGCCATTCAGCTTCATGCTAATGGACGACGGCTTGAAAATATATTCGCCGAGCATGCAATCTACCTTTTCGAGAAATAGAATCGACGAACATTGAAAAACCTCCGATTATAAATCTTGATTTGCAAGCCACTGAGAGAGTCTTAAATAAACCAATGTCTTAATTGTCGATGAGAGTCGGAATAAGCGTCGAGAGGTAAGACGAATCGTCTAAGCGCGCACTCCGTACAAATCACCCAAGCGAGGCATAATGGAACCACGAGTTTGAATAGTGCAACTTTTAATATTCGACTTATTTCTCGAAGTTTGCTAACTATTTTCAAGAGTTCAACAAAAGACTTGGGTCAAGAGTGCATTATCGGAATAAAGTTGTTTCGGTGGTTTAGATACATAACATCAGGATTCGAATGAGTTATTCGTGACTCACTATTATTCTTTTTCTTCTTTCATCACGGTAGTAGAGCAAATCATATGGCACGAGCACGAGTACTCGTAGTCCGAGGTATTACATTAGGTCTCTTTCAAGCTGATCAACGAACTTATCATTCATTTTGTCTGCATTGGGCAAATTGAAGTGCTGATTGAATAGCCTTATTTAGATCGAGCTCGTAGCGCATCAAGTTCCGGTGCAATCGCGAGGAGTGGAATTGAAATGGACGAATTAATCACATTATTGACTTTGAGCCGCGCATCTGTATATCGCTCGCGTATATCTGACACACAGCTCGCGCCCGTCAAATTAATCCCTGGAGATATCCTGTAACTGACCGTCTCGCCATGGAAAAAGTTAGCTGGACGAACCACGAGGCAAACAAAAGAAAGGTACATTATGCATGGGACTGAAGTATACAATTGGCGATCTGCATATTTGATTCGGGCAACACAATCGATCACATCGTGCACAAGCAAGTCGCGAATGGGCTTCACATTCAGTTGAAACCGCAAAGGCGGTGCCGCCACCTCCATTATGCCGAGCTAACAAGGTAGCGAATGATCCCACCGCTATCATTAGGGTCAAGCTGCCGTGTGCTTATCAAAGTGAACAGCATCAGCGGGGGCGGAGGGGGGGGGGAGATGATTTCGCCACTTGGCAATTCAATTACGACAGGCGAGCTGCTCTCACTCGGGAAGCTGCATGCACGCAGCTTGCAAGCTTGGCAAAGTTATCGCACGCCTAGGCCGCTAAGGGATCGTCAGCTACTTTGTCGTTTCTACGATGACTCATTATGTATAGAGCGTACTGCTCGCTCGTTCTTTTACTTTTCCGCACTTTGCATCCACTGCGAGCCGCCGCTGTCGGATGTACTCGTAAACTCATAGAACGCGAACAAACAGCCAAGTTGAATTCCGTTTCGCGTACACGCGATCCTCGGTTCAATAATTCGTAACGGGTAAGCTGCAGCAGTCTAGCCTGAGCGTGTGAACCTCTTTCACTGGCACAGGACTTTAATAATCTGCCAATGCCGATTAGACTGGATTATATGTTGCAATTCAGTCGAAAGCGCGTAAAAATGCCGTTTATGGAGCTTGCAGAGTGAACGCGTTTAGTATGCAAATACGAAAACTCGGTAAATTGAGCGCCTGTATCGGTGAGGGGCAGTGGGGGCGCTAAGAAGCAAGAGTGTCGAAGAAGACTGTCTTACGTATCCTTTTCCTTATATTGCAGCGTTACGTAGTGTCGAGCGGCTGAATAAGGGAAGTGACGTGCTTAGCCTCAATGACGACGACACATCACAACAACAACCCACCCTGGCCTTGATGCGCCGCATCCTCGCCGATGCACAGGTGAGTTCTCGGTTTTCGTCGTATTGCTTGAAAAAAAAAGAATAATAAAGAGCGAGGTACCAGGTCAGCGGGTCATACTTTGATCCCAGACAGGCGGACAATGGACCAGCTTCCGCGATGAAAGCATCGGGCTGACGTCGCCGACAATGGCTAACCGGGTCATTAATCCCTTGCCGCGGTCGAACGGCTTGTTAAATGAGCATCGATTTTCGAATTCTTTCCTCTCTGTCTCTCGCGCGCGAAAGCTGCCGGGAGCAAAATGAGATATCGATCGGCGGCGCGGGGACCGAGTCGTTCGCGCAATTAATTCGATTGCAAACGGCGCGCTGGCATTCAATTACGGCGAAAGCTCTTTCCTCCTCGGTGGCCCGGCACTATTTAATCGTCATCGAAAGACAGAGAAAGAGTAAGCTTTATTTAACCGCGGGGTATAACTCTGAAGAGAGGGAGAGGGATTCGAAATAAAATATCCGCGCTCGAGGGGCAACTTCGCTTCGATTGCTGTTTCTTGCCCCATGCGTGTGGCAGCGCCGCGAGTACATATACCTTTGACCTATAATGCTGCACGCACTGTCCTTACGACCCGAAGTTACAGTCCACTCCGGAGTACGACGGCGGCAGCAGCGTTGGTACTAAAACGCATTCTTGGCGTGTATATATCCGACGCCTGCGTGAGTATAGACCGAGTTTGCCACGCGCTCGTGAATCATGCCCATGTAGAGAGAGAGAGAGAAAGAGAGAGAGAGAGAGAGAAAGAGGTTTAGAGGAAGGATTTTTCTTTGCATGTACTAGACGTGGCTCGCGCCCCAGTTACTCAAATGCGAGGTTCTTTTTCCTCTCTCTCTCTCTTTCTTTGTCTCTTTTTCTGGGTCGCGTCGCTCTCGCGACCTCTCCGTTGTTCAGTCGCGGTCCTAATGCGCAAGGTAAATGGGCGCTAATGTTTCGCGTGTCCATGCGCGAGGAAAAGTTTTCGCGCCGTGGACATATTTTTAAACGTTGTGCTTTGATACGTCGCTCGCTGTGTGCTCGGTGTCCTTTCGTTCGTCGTAAAATGACTATTTCTGGGGAACGTAATATTACTCTCAATCATTATTAATCAAGCGAAGTGTTCGAAACGCTCACTACGCTTCTCACTACAGTTCATCAGGGAAGAATATGTAGCCCGAATAACAATGAACGTGGCATACGAAACGTATTGCCGGAGAAACTGTTTTTCATCTTCTCCCCGTGGCATTAGGGCGTAACGCAAAAGAAAAGTCCCAAAAGACTCACGTAGGCAGTGGAAAGAAAGCGAGGGAGAGAGGGAGAGGCGAAGAAAGGTAAACGCGTACTGCAGGAAGAGCAGAAAGTTTTCGCGTAACGTAGGCGTGGAAACTCAGTCGGGCAACGCAACCTACGCTATGTATGCCCCGGCACGTAGAAGCGAGCGCGCGCCCTTTTCGTTATGTTTTTTTTCGAGGAAAATACGATTCAAAGTGCCGGAGCGGCGTCGGACGAGCGACCGAAAATACGCGAGAACGACGCGCCTCGGAGCCACCATCGGCCGGCTCACTCGATTTCCATGGCAAAGCCGCTGAAATCAGAGGCTGCCCACGGCCCACTGATAATGCCTGCGTCGCTGTGCCGGCTGCCACGCTGAACATGCTAATTCACGGCAAGTTGGCTGCGAAATTGCGCCGGTCGGCCGCTGCCGAGTGCTTATGCCATTGTTTGCCCGGTGCCTTTGGCGATCAGGATTTATTAATGAATTGCAGCGTTTAACTTGCTCCCGAGCGCGGCTTTCAGGAGCTCAAAGCACCTCGGCGTTTTTCACGTTGCATATCGTTTGTCATTCATGCGCACGTCTCTTCCGACTCGCGCGCCCTTTCGCCGGGGAAAATCTTTGACGCTCAAGGAAGCAACTTGCGCCCGAAGGATCTCAATTTGAAATTCGTTTGGGGCGAGAACGAGGCACTTCATTCGGAACCAAATCATTCGCGCTCCAACGAATTGCAAAACTTATTAATCGAAGTTGCGCCGCGCGCTCGAGCAACGAGCCCCTTGGCAAGGACGACGCCCACGCAAGTTGTACAACGCGAACTCGATAACTCGCGCTTCCACGGTCACGTCGCTATTAAATAGGTCAGCCTATATGTCTTGAAATGCAGTTTCAAGAAATTAACGGCGATTCATTAGCGACGCGTCCGCCGACGACGTAAATCGCGCGTCGCCAGCTATACCGTCTAGCTACCTCTTATCAGCAGCGTAACTTGTTATTTGGGTTAATTACCTCGCGTCTCGCTCCGACATCAATGGATCTACGTGCATTACGATGTGCATGCATAATCGAGTAGTTGCCAAGCCGAACATGCAGATTGATTGGCATTTTTCCCAATCACGTCTTTCCTGGGTCTAATTCATAACACGAGTATTAGTGGTTCGCGAAATTAGTACAGATGTATTTGAAAAAAGCGGCGTTTCCCGATCACCGGACGTTTCAAGTGTTTTTCAGCAGTGACGATCTATAGTTATGATTATCTGATTGCTCGCCTTCTTCAAACAAATACACGTAGTTAAATAACAAAATTCTATACGAAACGACGTTAGCACTATTATAACGTTTCTAAAAACGAGGATGAAGTTGCATTCATTCAAAACATGTCAATTGCATGATGATCGCTTAAACCTTGTGTTACTTGTACGGGTGTGAATTTCGGGATGTTCATTGTAAGTCTCATTTTATTATATTAAAAATGAGCAACTCGTAATTTATATCTTTTCTTACGTATTCTGCTCAAATCGTAGTTAATAATGAAAATATTATCGCTATTTACCGTTGCGATCGGCAACTCGACATGCGCACTTATCCAATGTACGTTTCAATTTGATCACATACATATCATTTCCCTTTTTTCCTCTGCGGAACAGTGATTTTGTACCGTTTGTATGGTTTGGTGCTTGAAATTGCGAAAGTTTGATATATACAAGTACAAATTAACGATGAAACGGCTAGTCGTCTTAGTAATCTATGACATCAACGCAATATCCAATGGTACATTAAAAAAGTTACTGAAACAGTTTCACTCTATTCTATTAAAACGCGTTGATTACTCAAAAGTTGATGGGATAGTTAAAAGCTCTAACGATCGCAGAGAAACAGTCTTTCTTATCAGAGATTTGTGTGCAATAGTTTACCTCATGTTTACACTTAAAACCTTTTGCTTATCTTATCGCTTTTTTGAATGCGAACTTTTATAGCGTTGATCGCCAGTTAAGATACTTCGAACTTTCCTGATTAACAAATGAACCGCTCCGCCGAACTTAAAATAGCATATAGGTTTGAAAGTGTGTGATATCAATTAATCTTCGCGGAAAATAAACGCAACATATATATAGTTGCAACGGCGAGAATAGAAACCTGAGAGAACAACAATACCTTCGGTACTAGTGAAATCGGTAGTACAAACACGAATATCGTAGATCCGAGCAAAAGGTGGATTATTTGGCGTGAAAACCATGGATGGAGCATCAGCAGACATAAAACGGCGATAGGTCGCTTTGACATTGCACATGCAAAAGCATCGTTGATCGCACACTTTTCACCGAGCGCTCTCCCACGCAATTTTTTAATGCGTTCAATCAGATAAACGTGTCCCCGCGAGAGATTAAAGTTTAACGAAGATTATCGCTTTTTCCCTCCTCTGACCAGCGAGTACGGCATCACTCATTTACGCGCCAGTGGGTCAATTCCATTCGAACTGGAGGAATTTTTCAGTTGTTCGCGCGTTCGAAGCGGAAAGTGTTCTTCTGTTTCTTGAGCGCGATCGATTTTTCGAAACCACGCCCATCATTTCAGTTTCGCTAGCTTGTAAGGCTCAGGATTCACTGGTTGGCTGGGATTTATTGCACGTGCAAGCTTGCGAGCTTTCGGGGCTTCCCTGATTCACTTTGGCGAGGATCAAGGATTCGTTTTGATTGAAATAGTTGTCGTTGGCTAGGCTGTCATCTAAAGGATTAAACTGATCTTTTGAACGTAAATTTTTTGAAATTCGAATGCTCAATCCAATTTTATTGCAACAAAGTTTACTGCAATAAAGTGGAGTCGTTCAAATTCGCCATTTTCGAATAAGGTGACATTTAGTAGGTATATCAGATAGACAAAATATGGAACGCGTTATCGCGATCTCATTTGTGAAACATACATCATGGCCATAAAAAAATTGATAACATTTTTTTCATCGGGAGTACAAGGAAAAAAGCAAATTCTAAATTTCTATTTTATCGCGACGAAAATCGAGGGCGAGTAATACTGTTGTCCCGGCTACATGCCGATTCGAGATCTTGATCATACGTTATCTCATTCATTGCGAATCCGTTAGCGTGCGCGCGAATCGAAGAGCACGGAGAGGATTTAAGCTATCGAGTGGTATGCGACATGGTAAGCGGAACGAGCAAGCTTTCCCAGTCAAATTGAGCGCGGTTAATCAGCTGATTACGCGACCATAGCTAATTGACGAGAAAGAAGAAGAAGAAGGGCGAACGCACGACGTCGCTGGAAAAGTTGAACGCAGATTGACCTGGGAGTGCGTCGGCCAAAAAAAAAAAAAACGTTATCCCCTCGTCTGCGACGCGTTTATCGCTCGCTCAAGTCAGCGCGATATGAAAAGTGCGGACGCCTTCGAGTGGCGTGATCGCGTGGGCAGTCTTGTAACAAAATTACAATTTTTCACTCGGGTATTCAATATTATTTCAAGAGAGGCCGTAAATAGAGTGGCCACAAAGGGAATCTTGCTAGGCAGCCGAATTTTATCAGCGCATGAGAACGAATAAAAGCGACCGCACCGAAGAGGCGAAGAAAAAAAGAAGAAAGCCCGCGGTAAGAGCTAAAGTTGAATGAGAGGGAGGGATTAAAAGAGATAAACAACCGCTCAAGCGAATAAAAACTGCAGAATTAGAGAGGCCATAAAACCTCTGAACTGCTTGGGCGCCTGAACCCGACAGGCCCTTTTCTGGCGTGGCGG